TCCAAGCACCAGTACAGCCTGGTGGTTGTCAGTGGCATGGAAATCGCTGTGGGGCAGCAATGGCAGGAAAAGAGATGGCATCTCCCTTTCCCTGGACCTACTAAGTCCCTTTGCTTAGTCAGCACCCTCTGAGCTGCCTCCTTCCCCAGGATGTGCTATCACATCACTGACCTGTACAGGTTCTTGCCAAAATCTTGCTTGGGCTTGGCCAATTCCAGTATCCTTGCGGATGGTCTAGCTGTCATAGCACGCCGTGAAGTGGTCCATATCATCTCTTGGTTTCCCCAAACAAGCCTAGCAAGAACAGCAAGGGTGTGAAATTTTAGGAACATGCCCAAGTGTGAACTGTGCTTGATGGGGTTATCCTTCCCTGCCTGGGATGGAATACACATACAGTCCCTATGGCTACCGTCACCTGTAAAGTGCTGCTGCTGTTTCCTGAGCGCTCACTTTCTCTGGCACACTGTCCAGAGTTAGGAAATGTTACCAACTCAAAAAGAAAAAAGCCTTCAAGGGATGAGTCTGGTTTTACAACTACCAGTAGATGTGCAGAAAGGGTCATTTCATTACATCTCTGAAACCCCTGGGGGAGTTTCATGATTGCATTTTTCTTGCCTCACTGTTACCACCTAGCTATACCACAAGTATGGCAGTAAAAATAATAATAATGTTATGGTCAGGGTGTGCCATGGAAAGTGGGTGAGGTTTTGCAGCACGTTAGTGTTTACTCTCCTGTGCCCAGGGCAAATCTGGAGTTGCTCATTCCCCATTGAGAGAGAGGCCATGACGGGAGAGGGTACCAGGGTAGTCAGGACAGGGAACAGCTGGGCAATGGGTTTGTGGAACCTTTTCCAAGCACAGTGACACCCATACAGACAGTGGAGAAGAGACATTATCTTCTCAGTGGAGAAGAGACTGTTGCCCTGGCTTGTCAAGCCATAGCTTGACCACATAACGCTGACAGCAGCTCTGCTTCTAAAGCTGGACTGTGTTCTCCAGGATGCAGCAGCCTGTGACTCCAATGAGGTCCAATCTCCTTGCACCACTACGCCATCCTATCCTGCAACATCTCAGTGCAGCAACTCAGAGAGGACAGCAAAGGCAAGACTGGATCAAGCCCAGTTTTTTGATTGAAAGCAAGAAAGAGCAAGTCAAAGAGAGCCCCTCATGCACTGAACATCTCCACCTGGATTTTTGGAGCCACTCCTGCTCTTGAGAGGGAAGCAGTAGCAAGACAAAAGCAAAGGGTCTGTACTGGCTGAGGTCCCATCCATCCCCAGCCCTTGAGCAGGGCTGCATTACCTCCTTACCTGAGGTCATTTGCACAAGCTGCTTTCTTGGGTTCTGCAAGTTCCCATATCCTGTCAAAATTGCAGAAAAGGACAAACATGCCATTTAACGTACAGTTAAACCAACAAAGCACAAAGAAGCTACTGCTGTACTCAAAACCACATAACACGCTCTCGAACTCCTCTGCCTTTTCCTCCATCTCTTGCAAGAGTGCGTTTAAGGGATCTCTCTCTCCTAGTAGCTTTCCATCCATTTAATCTGGTGAACTCATCAACCCGTGGATTTTTGTGCTATTTCTTAGATTGCAGAGAGACAAATTTGCAATTCTGCCCTCATTGCAGAGTCCCTGTGGGACACTGCAGGGAGAGGGGGAAGGTATTTTCTGGTTAAAAACACAACATACAACCCCAGCAGGTAGGAGATGGATGATGTCTTCAGCCTACAGGAGACCAGATGAACAGAAACACTTCTGTGGTTTGCTCAAAGTCACCATGGAGACTTCCCACAGGGCTTTAGGAGCACAGGTGAAGCCATATTTTTTTATCGTTTTATTTCAGTCTGTTTAGCACAAGAGTCTCAGATGCTACAGAGACTCAGGAACATACATGGTCTGTGCCCGAGCAAAATCATAGTCATCATATAGTCTGGGTTGGAAGGGACCTTCAAATGTCACCTAGTCCAACCCCCCTGCAATGAACAGGGACATGTTCAACTAGGTTAGGTTGCTCAGAACTACATCCAGCCTGGCCTTGAATGCCAGCTATGGAAGTGCCTCATCATGGAAAAAAACACAGAAAGTGAAAGCCTGAGGCATTGCTTCTCTTGCTTAGTACCATCTGGCAATAAGGCAGCATAGAGCTAGAGAGGAGTGGGGACACAGAGAGAAGTGTTTGCTGACAGAAAACAGTCTGCATTGTGGGGACTCATCTGTGGTTCCTCTGATGAGGCTGATACCCCTTCCTGAGATGCCAAGCCCCAGCAAACGTTTGCCAGAGACCTCAGAACCACAGAGACCCTTGCAATGGCAGGCTGCTGTTAGAGCATCACATGCCTGCTGATTTATCTCCCTGTCATGCTTAATAGACGGTCACAGCACTGCAAACAAGGGACCCCACAGAGGAAACTGCCTGTAGGACTTTGGCCCCCTGCCGCCGGTTCAAGACAGGACATGCTCAGGACAGCAGCCCTCATGTCAGGAGCTAAAATCAATTTTCAGCTGTCCATTCCTAAGCAGCTCCCCAGAGTCTTTTCCAAAGGTGCGAGGAGGTGAAGGATTACCACACAGATTTCCCCCCAGCCTAGCTACATTGCAGAGCTAGCACTATCCCTGCAGGCAGGCTCCTCGTTTCTCCTCCAGCAATGGCACAGACCCACCACATAGGCACAGCCAAGCCCAGCACAAAGTGTACATGGCCTTACTGACCCATATGACACTGCTGTGCAAAGCTTGCATCATGACCCAGCCAAGGAACAAGTCACACGTACATCCAGACCAGGTCTCTCAATTCATTTGGCAATTGTCTAGTATATTGGGGTTTTCCAATTACAAAAAAAAAAAAGCTATTATTTTCTACTCTTTTATCATGGCAAAAGCTCTGGACACACAGGCATCCTCGCACAGGATGCACCTGCAGCAGTTCTGCAACTTGGCTGATAAAGGGACTGCCCTTGCTCTTTGGTCCCGCTCCTGCTTTCCAGCAGGGAAAAAAAGGCTTTGCTGCAGGCAGGCATAGAAACACCTCCCCTCCATGCCTGAGCTCACATGGACTAACTGCTCAGCCATCAGACCCATCAGATGTTGTTGGTCATGAGAAGCAGGCGGAACAGCAAACCCAGGCATCGTTTCCTCTGCATGTTTATCACAGTGTCATCTGAGATACTGACTTGCTGCCTGGTGTAAACCCCCGACCCAGCCCTCCCCGAGAGACACAGGGCTTGGCCTGGATGCTCAGCCAGGAGGTCAGGTCTGAGGGGTTCTTACCTGTCATGGGAGCATGCGGACAGGTAACAAGGAACTGCAAAGACAAGAAGAGGTGAATTTAAAAGCTTGGTAACACCCGCAGCTTGGACTGCCTGCTCTTCAATGTTAAACAATTGCAGGGTGGGTGCAGTCTCTGCATCTTCTCAGGATAGACTCCCTGACAGCTATTTGTAAGGCTTTTCCCTGGTACCTTCCCGGGCAGCTGCACAGCAATGCATTTGCACGCGAAGCGTTCCTCACCCAGCGGATGGGGAGTCTGGGAGCACCGCGTCTCCTCATCAGCATCCTCCTCTTGGGATGAGCAACAGGTACTGCTGACCCGCAGGCTGTCCCCAGCTCACCCCTTACCACTGCCCTCAGCCTGGGGGGCCTCGGTGGGCAGCGGCTGTATTAAACTGGGACTCTGCAGCAGCACAGAACAAGCCGCCATGCTTTGAAAGCGGGGACAGGAAAACAACAGACGCGGTGGGGAAGCCAGGCTCGGTTTCGAGGCTCCACCTGCGCGGTGGCAGCAACGGCCGGGCTGGCATGGCGCTGCCCAGCAGACGCTCCGGTGGCGCTGTGGAGCCAGGGCCCCGCCGCTCCCGCCCTCCCTCCCGCCATGCCGTGCCGCCCCGCGGCATCCCCCGAGCCCCGCCGCGGCTGGCTGAGGGGCCGGCTCACAGGGTCTCTGACCGGGAGGGGCTACCCCCCGCCACCCCACACGGCCCCGTCCCCACACACCGGCGAGCGGCCCGGCCGGCGCCATGGTGCGCGCTCCCGTCGCCACGGCAACGGCTGCTGAGGGAAGCGCTCCTGAGGAGAGAGCCCTTCGTCCGGCGGGCCCCGGAACGGGAACCCGGTCGGCAGCAGAGGGCTGCGAGGGTCCGTCCTGCGGGAGGCTGGCCTCCAGGGTCTCTAGCCTCACGCCCTGCCCGGGTAAATGAGGCCCGGACCGCTGGTTTGGGTGAAGTTTTCTGCTTTATGCATCTGTTCCAAAGGATGAAACTACACAACATTCATACAGTAATGCAGCTGCAGAACAGGCCCGTTACAGAACTTGCTCCTGGATCGCATTCTTGGAGTGTAATTCCAAGGACAATAGAAGAGTGACACTCATCAGGTACCCTTCCTCTCCCGCTGTGTAACACAAATCACTTTCAAAAATCAACGTTTTTCACACGTAAGACTGCTTGCTTGAGAACAACCGGGACTAAACTGAAACAAGCCACTCAGCCCGATGGAGTCTCCCACCTTTGGTGCCAATTTAACTTAAATGCTTCCAGTTACCACCTTAAATTACACCATTCTGTTTTTTCCCTGTAGGCAAAGAAACACTTAATGTCTTACTGCGATTGTCTTCTTGTTCTTACCTACTAAAGAAACAATAACCTACTCAATTTCCAGAGATTACTAATCTACCACTCCCTTAAAGGCTGGCTTCAACACAGCAACAACAAAAACTGTCAAAGATACTAACCGCAGCACTTTAAATTTCTGACAGCATCAAGAAGTGAGGTCTGGTTTTCAACAGAACAACACTGGTAACAGGGCTCTGTAAAACCTGAGGAGTACACATGTTTCAGTTTAAACCTGAGACACCAAGCCAGGTTAAATTCATTGGATGCAGCCTTGTTCCACTGGAGTGGATGCTTGATTCCCACCTGGCAAGAAGCCAGCTCAGCCCACCTAAGCTACACATCCTCTTAACTCTGCTATCTGGGAGACTACAAATATGCTAATATTAGACTTACTTCTCAAATGTATTTTCAAACCACTACAAATTAGATTTTGTTACCAACTAGGCACCATTTTCAGGGGAATCCCGCACTCAGAAGGAAAAGATACCTGTACATTTCAGTTGCCACATGACAAACTGACCATACACTTAACACTCTGTCTCCCTCAGCTGCACAGATCACATTGTAGGAAAAGAGCTGTCACTGTGCTTCCAAAACCAGCTGTGCTATCAGCTCCTTGGCATCCTTCATGTTGGAGGAGATCTCGGAGCCATCTTCTGCCACATGGGTACCAATCAAGAACATCTTCCTGTTGTCCCCAATATCAGACAGTGCCAGAGCATCATGGATATCGGTGATGCAATATGCGCCTTCAAGATCCTGATACACAAAACAGAAACGAGACCATTAGTTGCAAGAGGTAGCAGCACTATTCCCATGTTGCTGTTCTGTTTCTAGACATTTCAGTGTTAATGACACCAGTGTAACACTACCCACATGAGCCAGATAAAAGTCTTGCTGCCCAAAGTGCCCAGCAAAGAGCTACAAGAACAGGGCAAACACGCCCTGTATGCCTTCTCAGCTACCACTGTGGGACCTAGAGTAACAGCAGTAGCACCTGTGTTTGATGAAGCCAAAGCACTCAAGAGTAACACAACTACTAGAAGCATGCCCAAGTTACCAGAAATTTAGGAGGTAACAAGGCAGAGTGAACCGAGCACACAGCTCTCATAACAGAAAATCTGGGCTTAAAACCCCTGGGCTGTTCTGCCGTCTAACATTGTACCACAGGCACAATCCTGCCCCAGGTACAGCACCACTCTTGGGAGAAAGCACTGCTTGTGAGGAAAGCTGCTCTTCTCTCATGCTTCAGCAGCAGCCTTAGAAGCAACCAACCTGACAACCTGAATGCTAACAACAGTGCTTCACTTTTTGGCTCCTGCTAGGTAAAGTGGTACTTCTAGACAGACATTCAGAACAGAAACTTAACTCCAGGTCTGACTATGGTCTCTCCTGCAGCTCTCAAACCTTGCAACTCTACAGTAGTTTCTACCATGATTTCCACCCACAGTTCTGACTGCACCATCTCCAAGCACAGGACCTGCATTTTGTAGATCCAAAACACAACCTCGGACTATTTTCTTTTGCAGTCAACAGGTGTCCCAGAAAGACCCCCAGCTCCAAGTCATAAGGCCTCCTTTGAAAGGCTCTGCTGCTGTTTTCAGAGCTGTTGCCAGCCCAAGCTCAGCTAGCAGCAGGGAACTCTTACCTGCTTGTTGGCCAGAACCACCACCGGCAGGGTGGAGTTGCTCTGGATCAGTTGATGAAGCAGCTGTTTTGCCACAGGCAGTCGGGCATGATCAGCCGAGTCCACGACATAGATTAGCAACAGCACTTTGGGCAAGTACATCTTCCAGTATGAACGCAGAGATTCACTGCCCCCGACTGGAAGAGAAGAGAGCAGCACAGGGTTCACCAAGTAATCCAAGCAGCACTACTCCCTCAACCGCAGATAGCAGGCTTTGGGCTGAAAACCCATGGTGTCTGGGTTTTCAGTATTTGAGCTACTATATATAAGACTGGAAATAGCTTTATTTTCCCCAGTCAAGTTACATGCAGACATATGTGTACACTCTGGGAACAAAAAACAAAATCATTTTAAGCTCTTATTGTGAGAGGATTCTGGGTTCAGTTTCTTACGCTTGCTTCCTGCCTTGTTGTTTCCTGCTCTCATGCAAGTAGGAAGAGTAGAAAGAGGTCCATAAACACCACGGGAGAATGTCCCCATATAACCCACCTACACATGCCTACCTCATCTTCAGACAAAGCAGGCCTACAATTTCCAAAGAAGAAATTTAGGTCTGAGGCAGGGAGGGCTTTCATTGGGTTTGTATGACACTGGGGATTAGTTCAAAACTCCCACAGCTTTCATACTGTCAATAACCAGAGGTGTTTAGGAGGTGAGAAAACTCAAGCCCCAGCAAACCCTTCAGGCAATCCTTGGAAGAAATCTTTGCACAGGTTACATTTTTACATGAGCTCTTCACTGCTGGATACAGAGGAAAACTGTCCACCTTCAAAAGCAATTGCTTTTGCACATGCAGCAAGTTGTTCGAGATTGTTATTCCCATCTGGGGACAAAAAGAGTTTGGTGAGATTAGTAGGAGCAGGAACAGTTAACAGTATATTAAGCATTTCAGATGTGTTTTCCGCTCTTCAGGTCTTCTCCCAGGTATACTGCAGAACCATGCCTTCAAGAGTACTGAGGTACAAAAAAGGTCTAGGTGACTCTCCCAAAGGCAGTTTTCAGAACAATACAACTGCAGTTCCCTATAATGTTCTCCTGCCTTACATGGGAGCTCTTTTCAAAACTGACTTGCTAGTCAGCTGTCTTTTACTGCCCTTTTGCTACGACTTTTACTGTGACTTTTTTCAGTTTCAAAGCAATTTTACTTTCACTAAAATAAAAATGATCCAGTAGCTTCAAGAACATAGAAAGGGAAACATCATTTCCTGCTAGGGCATGCCTGCCTCTTCTTCAAGAGCCCCAGCCTATCTGCAGGCAGTATTGCGAGTCTGTTGCTGTGGAAAGGAGCCAAAGGGCTGTGACTGATCCATCACACTTGGGACAGATGTCTGTGATTCTGTACTGTGATGTTGTGGGGCTTACCACCGCTCCCTTTGTTAAGTGCATTCATGCATAGCATAACCCAGGGGTCAGCAGCTCTCACAGAGAACGCTTTTTTATCCTGCAAACAAGTGGGAACCCAGCAGAAGCCAGAGGCAAGACATCACCCACTTTTTCTGTACGATGGTACAAATAAAAAGATAGAATGTTGATTTTTCTATCTGTCTAAGCCAGCAAGATAAAACCCCTGCTGTCTGCTGATCACCTTGTGCCATGTGATCACAGCACAGGCTGCTAACCCCTGGACTAGGCGATGGTATAGACTGGATAAGTAACCAGATTAAAGAGCCATGCATGGATTTACCTGGCTGAAACTGGACTGAGATATTTCACTTCCCATGGGTCAGATCGCAGACAGCACATCTCAGTGACTACCAACCTGGACCAGAGAGGGAAGGACGACTCAGAAACAACAGGCTCTGCCGTGGGGTACATGGCTGTGGGCCCAGGCCATCCCCAGGCAGGAGCAGAGATACATTAGGTTCCTCTGGGCTCAGCTAGACAAAACACCTCCCAGTAGGAGACACAAGTATCCCAGACCTACTATGACAGGGGCACAGAATACAAGCGTTTCTGGAGAGACTGTTTCCCCAAGACACGACAGACACGCCTGTGGTAGTACTACTTGGAATGAGACTGCCTTAGTGGCCTCATCCTCACATCCCAGAAACTTACCTGGGAACAGCACAACTCCTTTAGACCTGCTGACAAAGGTACAGAGGCATCTATGGGCTAGCTGTCAACTGAGCCAGTTGAGCACTGGTACAGTACAGTGCAGAAGTAGCAGGAAGCAAAGGGCAGCTTTTGCCTCCACAGAAGGCAGGCACTCTCTATACCAGGGACTGACCTGAATCCAGGGCCTCCACTTTGCCCTCAGCTAGCTGCACCTAGAACAGCTCTGACACCCCAAAAGCACCACAGGAGATGTTCTCTGCAGGCACAGGCAATACCCAAAAATCAGTGCTAAGGACAACACAAAGCTTAGTACATACCTACAGACATTAAAAAATCATTAAAGACTAAAAAACACCACTTTTGCTTTTTGAACAAAAAGGTACAAAGTTTTTCTACCTCTCTTCTTTCAACTTATTATTTATTCCTCTTTGTCTCTTGCCCTTTGCCAGGCATAAGCACCAAGGTGAAGCTGTACAACACACAATGGCTATGAATCACAACACAGGCCTTACTGGGGACACCTCTGCTCTGGGCTGGTTTCATACCATTAGGCTTGTTATCCTTCTCTCTCTGGGAACTGAACTCCCTGGAGGACAGGGCTGAATGAATACACACCTCCTCTAACTCCAGTGTATCATTTCCTTCAAGAAATGGGGTGGGAAAGCAGAATCTCCAAGGAGAAAATAATCACAACTTCATGTTATCAGAGCAGGCACAAGGGAACCCGATCCCGAGGGCACAGGATAGGAACTTATTTTAGGCCCAGTACTAAAACACGTTCACTCACTCTCCAGGAACTCCATCTGTAACTCTTCGGTGTTGACGCAGATGGCGTTGAAGCCCTCGGTGGGAGCCACGCTGCGCTTGACATGGTTAGTTGCCAGGGAGTGGAGAACACTGGTCTTCCCAGCCCCATCCAGGCCCAGCACAAGTATCTGTTTACCGTGTCCTGTACCCTGCAAAGCAAGTGGCAGCACGCTTAGCCAGGCACCCCGGGCAGGCCTGGGGAAATAAGGGAGTTTAACACGGGGTCGGGGGAGAGAAGCGCAAAAGGCACTTCACAGTGGAGACGGTGCTGGGCTCCTGCGGCACAAGTACAGGGCCGCAGCGCCGGTCGGGCCATGGGACGCCGGCGACATCCCCTGGCCAGCCCGCTGCCTGGGGAGGGAAAGCGGAGAGTGCGGTCCGGGCTGCGCCGCGCTGCCGAGGAGGACGCCACGGCCAAGCGGCCCGGTATCGCATCCCCGCCAAGAGGCTCCGTGCGGCCCCGTTAACGTTGCCCGGCTCAGCGGCCTCGCCCGCTGCCCCAACCCGGCCCCGGTACCTGATCGGCGGCGGCTGTGGCGGCAACAGGGCAGTCGGGAGTCGGCACTGCCCGGCTGCGCAAGCGGACCCAGAGCCAGGCCGCCACGGCAGCGCCCCCGGTCGCGGCCAGCGCCGCCCCCCACAGCGCAGCGGGCCGCAGACGGGCGCCCATGGCCGCCCCGCTCCAGGCACAGGCAGGCGTAGGGACGCACAGCGCTCCCCCTGCAGCCCTGCGTGCGCACGGCTCACCCTGCAGCCCTGAACGAACGGCCTCTCCCCCCCATCCCCCGTCAGCTGGGCTGTCAGGCTGAGAACTTACCCGTGTCGGTAGAGCGAACGGTGTCACTGGCGGCCCTCTGCTGTCAGAGGAAGGCGGGCGTGCCCCACAGCTGCTGCCGCCCGCATAACAGCATTTGCTTCATGGGCACCCATCGCCGGGGGAGGCCCATACAGGGTACTGTCCAAGCAGCCCGGACAGGGTTCCAGCAGTGCGACAGGGCAGCGTTTCCATCTGGTCGGTTCCAGCCAGGTTTGACCAGAGAAAATACCTGGAGAACGCAGAGTTGCATTCTCCCCCACTATCTCCTCTCCCTAAATCACATCCTCTCACTGCAGGGTAGCACTCATTCTCCTGCAGTCACCAGCTGCTGGCTAGGAAGATGCACAGGACTCAGACAAGTCACTTAATCCAAGTGGCTGCTAGCCATTCAGAATGCTGTTTTCTGTTCTCCTTTCTCACTTAGAGCACTTTACATTTAGCCCCCCTTTCCCGATGCTCCCAGTGTACAGTCAAGGTAGTAAAGACTGTTTTCTATTCAGTAGATTTTTACCCCACAGGGACTCAGGGCTGGTTTTTTAAGCCACAGTTAACATTTTCCTTGCTCTCCCCCTCTTCAGTCCTTTGCTTTAAATTCTTTCAGAGACGGAAGCCTTTGCCTTTTGGGCTGACATAAGACAACACTCCCACTGAAAGTCCATGTATGAGAAAACGGTTTTGCTACATTCAGACCAAACCAGAAGTTTACAGAGGCGTGGGAGCTGCCTGTAGGGTGTTAGGAAAGCAGACACACCTTCCACCAGACCACCAGATTCCACCTGAGAAGCACAACGCCTCTTCCACTTAGCCCACCACCACTAGCCACTTCAGTTTAACTGACTCTTGTTTTGTGAAGCCTGCTAGAGTAAGGGTTGCAGAAAAGGGACACCGAGTCAGCTGCCACACACTTTGCCATGCTTTAACAGCCCTGTTCTCCCCCTTCACATTATCTTCTGTATCATGTAGCCCAGATGTTGTTTCCCAAGACCCCTTTGTGCCTGTGCTCTTTGGTGATCAGAGACTGACTGCAATGAGACATATTGAATTATGCAGTCGGACACACTGTCAAATAAATTTGCTAAAGGCCTTAACATATACAGGAGAAGCACAAAACTACATTTCAAGATGTTCTTGATTATTCCACATCTTTTAAATGTTTGGCAACATGGACAGATTTCTTCCTAGAGGCTGCATTTCAGTTTAATGGCAACACGAAGTCACAGTGGGGAGCAAGCGTGAGGAAGGTGACTGAGCAGACCGACCCATCTGAGTGCCTACCCCAGCCCATCTTCCCCCAGACCCCCCACTGACAGGACAGAGATCCAGATGCCAAGTGTCTTTCTCCAGCACTTGCTTTCGACCTTTATTCTGCAGCCAGCATCACCTACTGAAGGAGGGAGGTTACATGTCCTGCTTTCTACCACCCTCCTTTAGACCCTTTCTTTTTCTTCTGCTGCTGTTTCTTCTTGGTAGCTGGAGCACCAGCGGGTTTTTGGTGCCTGGGAGGGATGACGTTACTTGTGGCCGACACAGCTGTACCGCTGCCAGGCCGAGGGGAGGTAGGTGGGCTGCTGGCAGTCCTACTGGCGTCCCTGCAGGGAAATGAGAGAAAGAGACACCACGTGGGTTCACAGCCACCCACAAGATGTAGCACTACTGCAGGAGGCTGACAGCAAAAACCAGCAGCTGCCCAGTAAGGTATGGGAGGGCACTCATGCAAGGAGATCTTAAATAAGCTTCAACATATGTCGAAGGGCTGGATGATGGGAACATATCTCAAAGGGCAGGCAATCACCTTCTAACTGATGTTTACTACATAGTGTAAGTCCTCAACAATGAAAGCAAGGCTGATTTTTGAACAGATGTGTGACAGCTCACACAACATGAGAAGCCTTTCAGCCCCCCACACTTAGGCAGAGCAAATCCAACACCCTTTCTCTCTCGTTAAGCACAAAGGCACCTTTGTGCCAGCCCTCCTCAAAAACACTGCTCAAGCCAACCCTGCCACAAAAGGCTTCTCATGCTTCTGTTCTGAGACAGCTGTATAAAGAGAAACTATCAGACAGCACTGGACCCTGCATTGCTATTATTTTAGAAGTACTTCCTTCTCTCAGATGCTAGTAAGTGACCATCTTGCTGTCAGGCCTCATATACATTGGGAAACCCTGATTCCAGCTTAAATAATCAGCATCAACTTAGAAGGAAGTGTAGTGTTTTCCCAAATCATGACTAATGGGTACTTACAGTTCAGAGGAGCCAGCTGTAGTTGAACCCTGAGTCCCCTTGCCAACCTGATCCTTCTTCTTGCCCTTCTTTCGGCCACGATAGTAGGAACGCTCTCGCATTGGAAGCCACCGCTCAGGGTCAGGAGTCACCTTAGGGTCATAGTTCTTAGGCAGCTTTCCTACACAACACAGTGCCAGGAAATGAGACTGGGGTCAACACACTAGAGAGGCATCACCAAGGGATACATATAGCAGTCAGTAGCCAGGAAGTGCAAAGAGCCCAGCAACCCACACCATCCTATCAGAGTGCTGCTCTCACTTCGGTGGAAAAATGCCTCATCCAAACAAGCTGTCACAAAGATCTAAGCTCACAGGAGCCCAGTCCTAGCAAAGAGCTCCAGCTCCTGGGGAGCTCAAAGCTGGCTATTTGAAGAAACAATCTGGTGAGCTCCATGGAGCTGTGTTGTGTCAACAGCTAGCAACTTACCCTTCTTTTTTTTCTTCTTCTTCTTCACATCCCCTTGTCTGAAAAGCAAGAAGAGAAACAGCTGCTGTGACACAGCATGGACACAGCAGACAAGCCAACTGAAAACTAGCTGTGGATAAAGCTGAACCATTCCCAGCTCTCTCAAAACTTGGTCTACTGCTACCTCACACTCCTTGCAGCTAGACATCGGGGGCCCTTTCTGCCAGCCTGCTTTCCACAGCAATGCCCCCACCACACTAGGAGTGGTTCTTGTGCCACACCAAAGGATGACTGCACCAGAGGTACAGCAGACCGCTTTACCCTTGCTCTTTCTGCTGGTTGTCTCCAGTGAGCTTCCCAGCTTTCTTCCGAATGTAGGTTGCTCCGTGGGAGTTCTCCAGCGCATCGACATCTACTTTCAGTGATAGGGTATCCGAGGAAGGCAAGTGTTTGCTAAGACTGCAAGGGAAGAGTTCAGGGATGCAAACCGGCAAGCAAGAAGATAAACACCCAGGTTTGGCCAGATAGCAACACGCAACATCAGCTTAACAAATTCAGCCTGTTAGCAATGCAGACACCAGACAGGCTCATGGGGTTAGTTCCAGCTCTGTCACCAGTTTCTTATACAAGCTGGGATAAGCTGCTTAATCACCACCTGCCTCACTTTTCTTTATTACAGAGAAAGAAGCAGCAATTTCCTTTTAAAGCTGCTCAGGATGACAGTATGTGAACCTGATATTTTGGGTAACTGAGAGCTTCGCCACATTTTATAGGGCACAGTCCGGTGTTACAACCACAGGTTTCATATTCCAACAGAAAATACAGAACCTATTTTTGGTTCCATTATCAATTCTCAGAGAGAAGAAGGCCAAAGATAAAAGGATCCCAGAACCCACAGTAATCAAATCAACTAAGGAAATAATAGAGCTCCAGACAGCTTGACCTGGATATGTAGCTGTTCTGGAGAAACTGACTGCCTTCAGGTGAGAATGGGTCTGAATTGTCCACACAGCTGAAATAGAAGGTACCAATGCCCAAATAACCCTTTTTGTTTGCTCTGATATCACCTCAAAAGGATACACTTTAGCTTTTTCAGGGTCCACCAGGGAGTAGGCAGAGATTAGCTGCGCCAGAGTATGCACATCTTTTGGGTTTTGCCTTTGTAAGGGGAAAAAAAAAGGACCAAGTTACGAAGGTACACATTCATCCTAAAGACCAGCATCATCATGCAGTGCTTCCTGCTGCAGCATAGTTGTTGTCTGTGCAGACAGGCATGTCAGTCTGTGGTCTCCTCCAGAGCATGTCACCAAACATCACTTGTGGACAAAGGGAGGTGCACACTTCTCCACAGTATCATGAAGCAGGCAAAGAAAGGGAAAAAATCCCTCAGGTCCCAGCAGCAAAGACAAGTTAACAGTGTGCTGTCCCCCCAGTCTCAACAAGTGCATAATAAACGCTAAAACTTAAGACATCCATGGTTTATATAGCACTAGAAAAACTGATGAATCCCTGTCCCCAAAGCAATCTTGAATGCACACAAGAGGCTTCTGGGACAGGTCAGCCAGGTTTTCAAGTGAGTATCAGCTTTGATCAAATGAACTATCCCCCCTCCTTCCAAAGCATGGCTTTGCACTGGAGCCCCTGTGTGACAGCAACTCTAAAGCATGGCTACCAGTCAACCAACGCTGTCAGGTGCTGCCTGGCACAGGGCAGATTGCAGACGTCTCTGGGTGGAGATCTCCTGTTCAGCAACCACCCAACTCACTTCCAGAGCTCCTCCAAGTCGCTGATTGCTTCCTTCTTCCTGCCATGTTTTAGTTTAAAGTTGGCAGCTTCCCTTATCAACGACAAATGGACAGGAGACTTTGGCTGAAAGACACAGCAGCCATAATTAGCTCCTCATTATCACAGCAGTGCCCACCTCTAGCTGAGACCTGGCCCCAGAGAACTGAGCTAGCACCCTGTCACACAGAAAGCAGGCCACCTTTGCACACCACGATATGAGGCAGAACTGCATGGGACAAGGCAGCTTGGTGGTCCACAACGTGCTCTAATCAGGGAGAAGAACTGATTGCTACATTTGAGCACCCATTGCCACCACTCTTGTAATCTGACTGGAGCTCCCCGTTTGCAATACATCTAAAATAATGAAAGTGTGATAAAACAAATGCTCCGAAAACAGCTCACTGGTCCCCAAATTCCCAACTGGATGAGTTGCTGTGGCTAT